TGCAAAACCAGTGTCATGCTAGAGCTGAGGGTCTGGCCCCATCTTTGGTGCCAGTGTTTCTCCCTCTCCCTGTTCCTTTCCAGTCAATCCCCCTAGCCGCCTTAGGCACCCCATGGGTCTCCTGATGCATGTGGTATAAAAGGCCTTCCCAACCACCACCCTGTGGGGCTAGGGTTGTTGTTGGTGATGCTGGGTGTCGTCCACCTGCTGCCTACCACCCGCCACCTCTCACTGCCTGTTCTGGTTTTCAACCTTTAAAATTTTTACTTGCTAAAATCTCACATGAGCACATTTCTTTAAAATAGGAAAACCAAACAATACAGAATTAGAATATTCTTTATTCCCCATCTCACTCCCCTCCTGAGACATGACCACTGTCCATCGTTTACTAGTTTACCCTCTTCCCACTTGCCCACCTTCCCCACCAACCTTAAAGGCACATTCAGACCTTGTCCAGCCTCCCCTTGTTCACCCACAGCCTTGCTTTATACCACCATCACCCTGCACCATTTACTGCCTAACAGGTCATCTGGGCCTCCAATATCATTCAGGGTGGCCCAGAAAGGATCTGTCTAAACTTAGATGGAGGATACATTGAGGTTTCAAGGATTCTGTAGCAACACTTTTTTACTTGCCCTCATATATTAACAAACAAGAGAATATGATTTTGAATACTTCAATCTGTTGACTTTGTGGAAAGAATTTTGGTAAATGATGGACAGTGGTCACATCTCAGGAGGAGAGTGAGATGGCGAATAATGAATCTAAATCTATATTGTTTGCTTTTCCTTATTTAAAAAAAATGCATTCCTATATTATTTATCAAATAAAAAATTCCAAGGCTAAATATATATATATATATAAATCCAGGGCCAAAAATGTTTCCTGGATGAGTTTTGTGAAACCTTAAGCAAACAGGTAAGTCCTAGATAATAGGAAGACTAGAGAGGCAGGGCTTGAAGGCAAATTGGGAAGAAGTGCAGTGAGGTGTTCCTTCAGCAATAACACAGAATCCCAGATGAAGTGGGCTCAGGGGATGGTCCCAGAGCTCTGCACCACACATAAAGGAATATTTAGAAAGTTTGATGGCTTATGGTCAGTGGAATTTGTAGCAGAAGCAAGAAATCTTGTGCTTTTGAATCTGCCAGCCTCAGAGGCTCCCAGAGGGACCATCTTGGGCAAGATGAGTGGGGGAAGGATCAGAGCCACCAAGGACAGATGCCTGATGGCCTGATGGATAATTGGAGATAAAGGTGAGAACATGCTTTTTAAAAATGTATCTGTTCATTGGTCTCTCACTGTCTGCACACTGCCATTCTAGTGACTAGAGGGAATGCCTAATCGAATGGACACCCCACCCCCCACCCCTGGAGGGTTCTACTATGCATGTGCACAGATCTCCACCAAATTTAAAGGGACAGGTTCTACTTAAAATCAAACAGCAGCATGAAACGGCCACAGCTGGCCCTGAACAGTTTATCACTAGAAAAAAGGCCTGAATGGGGGCTGTGGAGCTGGAGAGAGACAGACTAAAAAGGAAACAGGCCTGAAATTAAATCCTGAGTCATGTCATAATGACCAACGGTAACATACTGAAATTTCTCAGTCAGCATTGAAGGCAAGAAGCTGAGAGAGGGACATTAAGGTCATACTCATATTTGGCTACATCATTTTTTTTTTTCTTTCTCTTTTCTGTAATTATAGACTACAGTAGCCAATCTGTCTTTGTTGCTGTTGCTGTTTTGTTTTTTGGTCCCCTCTTTACATTTAGAGGGCTCTTTCTTTCTCTCCATTACCCAAGAAGAAACAGCAATTGTGGTATATAGTCAAGCTACAATCACACCTTATAAAATTCCACCATCCAGTCAAGAATCAATACCAGCTGCCATATACCAGGTATGCAGCCAACACCTGTGACAGTTACCCTGAGTTGAATAATAACAAGAGTGAAAAGAGAAGCCCATCTCCTGATCACATCTATCTGGAGGCAATCAGAAAGCATAATAAACTACCAAAACATACATTCATCTAAGTATTAAGGTCACAGCTAACTACTGAATATGCCAAAGAAACAGATGACCATCTC